GAGGAGTAACGGTAGTTCGGAATAGGAACCTAGTCCGAACTACCTAGTTTGAGCCCCGTGTAGCCGCGCTGCACGGGGTTCGAAGCAATGGGGATTTAAAAAGGGCTGCTCCCCGCTTATGCTAATGAAGCCCGGGAAATTCAAATCCCAGGCTTCATTAGCAAGTGCGGTATGCATACATTACCCTCCTAGTTCGAACTAGCGGGGTAGTGTAGACATACCCCCAGTGTTTAACCACCCGGACAGGCAGGAAGTTTTTCCTAATGTCCAACCTCAACCTCCCTTGCTGCAATTTAAGCCCATTGCTTCTTGTCCTGTCCTCAGTAGCCAATTTTCCCCTCTCTTTCTGTGACACCCTTTTAGATACCTGATAGGTATAGCATAATGGAGTGGCATCTGACCCCAACATGCTTCCTTCTATTAATTAACCATGTTCAATAGCCAGACTAGAGCTTGGGCTTTCATCGGCCTAATAATAAAGCACAAAGCACTAGGTTTGCCAACTCTCCCAGATCAGACACCATTACTGCAAATTTCTTCCAGCCTGGAAGAGTTGGCAACCTTACAAACCAGCCATGTCTCCCTGTTAACCAGTCACAGAGACCCGCTGTCAGTGTCCTGCCTTTGTGCTGCATGTGTTTGTTCCCATGTCAATGGCTCTTTCTCTTGCAGAGCTGTTTTTCCCGAAGGACAACCCCTGGATGGTGCCCTTGGGGGTGATCCTGCCTCTCCTGGCTGGTCTCATTGCCCTGGCCAGTTACTGCTACTGGAGGCAGCACCAAGGAAAAGGTGATGTGACGAGAGGGGGTAGAGGAACTCTATGGGGGGACCGACAAGATTTAAAACCAAACCAGAAGTAAAGACACAGGATTAAGGGGTGTTTGGCTCAATGTTGGGAGAAGTGTCAGCAGCGGGAGCTGGGCTGAGGGTGAAGGGAGAAGCTGAAGAAATTATGATCATGTCTGAACCAAGAACTGTCAAGGGGTTTTGCCCCTTCAGATCCCCATCACAAGTGAGTCTGAACTGTTCCCTGGGGATCAGCAGGGCTCTGCTTGAAACGCCCAGGTGAGGCGCAGTGAGCTGGACTTGGCTCTAACATACCCAACTTGGCTGCTTGCAGGGAAACCAGAACACAAAGTAGGAGAAGAGAGGGGGGTTTCTTAGGGCCCGATTCTGCCCCCCAGCCTGGGCTCATGAGCAGGAGCTGTGGCAAGGCAAGGCAGGGGCTATGCAAATGGAAAGATTTGCACTTATCTGCACTGAGATTTGCCTGCCTGAGATCCTGCTACAGGAACAGGGGCAATGTTTAAATTAATGGATACTGAGTGTACAGCCCCCAAGGCATCTGTGAAAGCCTCGCCCAGAGGGTTTTCTCACCTAAACGGGCTGTGAAAATTATGTAGAAAATTGCAAGTACAGGGCTCCCCACTCTAAGTCACCCCGCTGTACATCAGTTCCGCGCTAAAACCATTGACACTTGTAGGAACTGATGTGTTATAAATCCTCCCAGTCCCCATTCTTAAGTCGCCCGGTTGGGCACAGAGGGAGCAGCCAAGGAACTAGATAAAAAAGACCTTCTGCTCCTACCCCCCACCTCTGGCAACAGCCAGGTGAGACAGGCGTGTGACAGGGCCAGGCAGCACAGATGCTGTTTGCAGGGATGTTGAGATGGATCGGTCCATGTTGGTTGAGACTCTGTGTCAGTCTGTCAACCTCACTTCCACAGTTAGACTATGTCTACACTGTGCATTGTTGTGCAATATGATATGCAAATGAGACAGGGGATGAATATTGCTGTGCCTTATTTGCATACTTAATGAGCTGCCATTTTGTGGAATGGGCTTTTGCACAAGAAGGATCTCTCTACACTGACCCTTCTTGCACAAAAAACCCTCTTGCACAGAGCCGTTCTTCCTGAAAATAAGGAGTGAAACGGCTTTGCTCAAGAGGGTTTTTTTGCACAAGAAGGGGCAGTGTAGACAGCTCCTTCTTGTGCAAAAGCTTCTTCTGCAAAAATGGTAGCTTGTTAGGTATGCAAATGAGGCACGGCAATATTCATCCTTGTGCCTCGTTTGCATATCTTATTGCGCAACAATGCACAGTATAGACACAGCCTTACAGCCCAGGTACATTAACAGCAGGAACCACACAACAAACACAACGGTGCCATCTCACCTCTCGCCCTTGTTCCCTCTAGAGACCCTGCGATCTGCCCTGGACAGTGAGAAAGGTCAGTGGCTGGGCCCGACAAATATTCATCCTTGTGCCTCGTTTGCATATCTTATTGCGCAACAATGCACAGTATAGACACAGCCTTACAGCCCAGGTACATTAACAGCAGGAACCACACAACAAACACAACGGTGCCATCTCACCTCTCGCCCTTGTTCCCTCTAGAGACCCTGCGATCTGCCCTGGACAGTGAGAAAGGTCAGTGGCTGGGCCCGACACATTGGCCTGGGTGACATCTCACCTGCCATTATGAACTGCAACCATTTCCCAAGGGAGAGTGATGGGCAGTGGGTGGAGCCCCCCTTTGGGAAACTACCCCCACCTCTTCCACCTGCACATCCCCCCATTGCCAGAGCTCTGAGACCCTCACAAGCCTGGAGGATTTTTAAGCATCTCAATAGGAGGCGCCATGTGCCAGCTAAAGCTCTAAACGCTGGCCCCCAACACCAACTCAGATCTGCCCCAGACACCTGCAGCTGTTCTGTGCCTCCTCTCCCCAGCTGCCTGGGGGAAAACATCTCTTGGATCTGGCCTGTTTTGCTTTTCCCCCCCCCCCCCCCCCCCAGGCAGGGTCCAGACAGCGGAAGAGGTGGCATGAGGGGCTCGTCT